AATCACCCACACGTAATTATGCCCTACATACCGAGAATTGACACATATAAAAACACTTTTCTTGTCAGAACGATTGTCGACTGGAACTGTCTTGCCGCCGATTTCTTTGAGAATATAGACACAGTTGAATCTTGTGTTGGTAAATTAGAATTGTCATTGTATGATGTAGTTCCCACTCTGTAACAGCCCGACAGGGCTTACAGTATTGTGAATAAAAATGACGTATAGCCATGTGCGACCTCCAAATACTATGCAGAGGTAATAGCACGAAAATGTTATACCGAAATGCATTTCCATTATCAATACGAATTTACCTTATTTCCTGTACGTTCAGCAGGAAATCTTTCTTCAATGTCCCTCGTATGACTTTACAGAAGAACACCGCGTTCCTACAGTAAAAAAAAAAACATGCTCAATTGTTTCGGGCTAACAACACAAAAATCAGTGGTCACTCCAGGAATGAATAAACTTTTGTCAGACATCCATGTCTTAACTGGTGAGGCACCGGTATGAAGATTCAAGAAAAAAATGTTGTAACGCCCGGTTGCACAGGCATGCGTTTAACTCGTTCGAAGACTTTGCTCCTTGTTCCAGGAGAGTACCGAGTGCGGTACAGTGGAACTGGAAGAACCACACCACATAAATCTTTATACAATTTTTCACGGAAAGCCCCACCGCGGCGGTCTTCTGGCTAAGGTACTCGGCTGATGACCCGCAGGTCGCGGGTTCGAGCCCCAGCTGTGGCGGCTGCATTTTCGATGGAGGCGGAAATGTTGTAGGGCCATGTGCTCAGATTTGGGTGCACGTTAAAGAACTCCAGGTGGTCGAAATTTCCGGAGCCCTCCACTACGGCGTCTCTCATAATCATATGGTGGTTTTGGGACGTTAAACTCCACATATCAATCAATCTTTTTTTACGGTAAACTTTGCCTAAATATTCAAAAAAAAAACGTGCCTTCCGGATGCGAGAGGACTCGCTAATTTCCTCAAAGTAGCCTTGTGGTCTACCTTCCAATCTAACAGAAGACACACCAAACTCGTGCAAAGCAGTAACCAATCGCATTTGGCAGACAGTGCGCAAAAAGGGTCTTGAACATCACGAAGGTACAAAAAACAGTTTACAATCTGTCGCAGAAACAGGTGCGTCAAACTCATACCACCAATGCGCAAAGGTCAAGACAGGTTTTCTGGCTTGTTTTTGCCCACGTGGAACCTCATATAAAGACTGCAAAATACGATTAAACTTCTGCACATTTGTTCGGGAGCAGCGCAATAGTTGCAAAACATACCACATCTTCGTAATGAAGAAGAGGTTGCGAAGGTTGCGAAGAGGTTGCGAAGAGGTTGCTTAATGATGCAGGAACAGTCTTCCTGCGTCAGTAAGCCTCATTGTTAGCGTGTTTTTCTGTATTACACCAAAGTATTTTACCGGTGTTTTCACCCATTGAACGTTCATGAAATAATTCGGTGTAATCCCAACTTCCTTGTCAAAAACCAAGGTGCTTTGCCCCGTTTACTGCACTTTCACTAACTCAACAAAAACGTTTTGCTGTGTTAACTGCCTCTGCGATACTTTCAAGGTTTTTACAAAAAAAATAGCTCTGTCATGCGCATACGCCAGCAGGCGCACCTCATATGCATGAAGCCAGAACCCTTATTAATGTTGCTACGTATTACACTTAGGCAGAATATTTCAATGTAAATGCAAAAAGGGAAGAAAGCGGGCACCCTTGACACTCGGATCACTGCAGGTCTATTGATTTACCTGATTGTTTGTTAACACCCAAACGAGTGGTTCTTCCCGTGTATGGTATCTGAACGGCTTCAATTTTACTCTTTCGACTATAAGGAAATCGTGATGCACGCGATAGAAGCCTTTCTCCAAGTCAATCTGATGCATAGCGACATGATATCAGTACATTCTTCCACGCATCTTGCTGTATGAATGTTCGTAAATGTGCTCTTTCGTTTTATTCCACATGTTTGATGCGGGCCTACTGTTTCTTTCATTACGCTCTGCAACCTACCAGTCAGAATCTTCATCAGGATCATGTATGTAGTCTACATTGGTCAGACTGATCGACCGATTGGCTGAGCCCTGTAGCAGTTTTCTAAAATCATTTGTTATAGGTATCAAAATAGAATGGGAGGACCGAAATGGGGTAGGGAGAGATTGCAGTTCCAAAGTCTCATGAAAAAGGAATGCCATAATAGGAAATAATTCCTGTTTAACTTTTTGTTGAAAGGAGCACTTGAGTCTCCCGGGCCCGGCGATTTTCCGCAGTTTAGTTTGTCAATTACTCTCTCTACATTGCTCACCGATATTGAGGGTTCTAATCTAACTTTAGCTTATTGTCTAATTTTGGCATCGGTCACAAGAATTCACTTGTGAAGTGATCCCGATCTACAGTGCCCGATCTACCGCACCATAGCTGCTACAGCCGGTAATTCAGGGGTTTCACATTTTCCTGATCGTTTAAATGATTATTAGTGCGTATGAAAACTACCGAAACAGCTTCGTATAATGTGGATAAAACGGTAACAAAGATGAAAATAGCAAGCATTTCAAGATGCGTGAGTCTATATAACACAGAACGCACACATTCACTCACACATCGAGGCGGAAGAGCAGTTCAAGGTTCAGTTGACTGCCTTCTTCCAAGGTGAAGCCCGCCTGTCAAATATAAAATATTTTATGCGACATAATAATGTAAGAAGGTCACATTACAAAATCGTGAAAGACCAGTGCAAAAAGTGGAGTGCACGAAAGTAAGATGAATATTTCATTGAGCTAGTACAACGACCGGTTCGATGGTTGATGAGGTATCTGGAAAATTATTTACAGTGAAATGAATACTGAGCAGATACGACGAATAAAGCAAGCTACTTTGATTATCTTCGTAATCACTTCATTTAACTGCTAAACTGAAAGAAACTACTGGCTCATAGCAATTCTACGTATGTCTCATATGTTTACGCCAGGTTACCATCAATTCTTGAATCAATGTAGTCCGAATGGGTCCTGTGGACATAGAACACCTAGACAGCTGGTGACATTTGCTTAAATAAAATGCAACGTGGTTATCTTTGAAAAGCTTTTAACCGGAAGCTGTTTAGCAAATCATTCCTTACGCGGTGAACCAAAAACCTCGGTCTTGTATGTGCCACGAAAATGGGGAAGTCACAATACCGAATAAAAATAAATTTCGGTCTTTCGCGTTTAGGAGCTCTGTCAGTCGTGTAAAAAACCATTCACTATGATGAGCGCAATCGCTCGGTTAGCACGTGCTCCCTCCCTGCTCTTCATCTTCTGCTTGGCTCTCGGACACAAAGCTCCAGTTTGACCGCCATGGATTTTTTAACTAGGTTGGGCAAAAGAACGAGTGCAAAGAGAAAGGAACAGAGAAGAGAGAAAGCCAGATATAGGGATAAGTTGACAAAAGTATATGAATCAAGAAAAATGAAGGAAAAGCATAGAAAGAAATAGAAAAACAGAGAAAGAAATAAAAGTGACGGAAGAAATAGAAAGAAATAGAGAGAAATCAGGAACCAACACTGACCGAAGAAACAGGAGAGAGAGAGAGAGAAAGAAAAGGATAAAGATGGAAGGAAAAGAAACCATAGGTGTGGGTAGAAAGCGAGAAAAGCAGAAAGAAACACAGGTATGAAAAATAGAACGAAAAACGAATAAATGAAAAAGATGAAAGAAAGAATAAAAAATTGGCCCCGTATCTGCATGTAATCTGCAAATGTCGTCGAAAGACGATAGTCTTGCGTGTGAAGAGAGGGAACAAAACATTTATTTGATGTTCTGCGCAGGAAAATCGCCGAATGGTATTCTGCGTTAAAGTGCCTCGAGCGTGCACCGGAGGCAAACGAGCGCGTCAAGTCACGTCACACATGAGACATGAAAGCCATCTGGGAGTTTTTTTTTTTTGGAAAACAAAGCACGTGGGCCTGAGACAGGTGTGCGCGCCCGTATCAGAGGTGATAAGGTGTAGAACGCAAGGTGACGGACAAAGGCCACCACCGTGTCTTCTTAGCAAAGCGTTGGAAACACTCGCTTTTCCGTGCAAGCGTTGCATGGTCAGCACTGCGGGATAACCGCTATGGTCCTTAGAATTACTTATGTATGCCTTTTCTAGTAGAAGAAGAACATGCAGAGTATATACGTGTTGTTATGGTGCATCAGATATGCGCAACAATTGCTTTTTAAATTACAACGGCACACGTATGAACGCTGATTCTTGAGCAACATTGGTGGGCGCTGCGGATGGGGTAGGCCGTTCAAGGTATCGGCTGGTGCCATTTAGAGTACCCGGTTTGCGGTAACGGTGGACAAATAGACTAATGCACAGACAGACAGAAAGACAGACAAACAGATCAGAGTATTTGCGTCGAATGTCCCCAAGAAATACTATCGTCTTTAAAAACCTAATTCAAACAGGGATTGCCACCTAGCACGGCTCTTCTTTCCTGCTAGGTACCACTTGAGGCTGACTTAATTTTATTTGTTGTTGGCTACGTGTGTACTCCAGAGGGTCAATTCGGCTGTTGGTACCAAAATTTACGACGCGTTATAAGAGGGCGTCGGCTAGGTTACCACCGCCAGCATCTCCTCTGTTCGGTTTATTTCAGTTATTAGCATAACTATTCTATCGTGCTCGCTACTGCAAATGTATCTTCTGAATTCTTGTTTTCATTATTATCGGCATGCTTCGTCACCGTGCGTCAAAGAAAGAGCGAACAGTCTTATACCATTTCCCCTCTCTTCAAACGTTAAGTAATATACGCATTCGCAAGCAAAGTAAGACGAACAAGATTATTTTGTAACAGTTCAGTATTTAAGCATAAAGATATGCAAACATGCGCACAAAAGAAACAAATACGGTGAGGTAACAACGAATTATAACCTAAGCTCATACTCGATTAACAGTCTTTCTAGCAGACTTGAAGCGAAACGTATAAATAAATAAACTCAGAGTTTAGGAAACATTTATTTACACGATGCCCGCAACATTTGGGTGTGTGCATGATAAGTCCATTGCTTCAAGTATCTGCGAAAGCTTGTATGATGAATCACACGCGTTGACCAATACATGTAGATGCTCAAGGGCGTAGGGGTTTTTCGAGATGCTGAAGCACCTGTCGCTAAAATGATCGACTGCTTTCTCGTAGCAGTCGAAGTTCGTGAGCCGCCGCCTAGTGTTAAGCAACAGGTCGGCCTCATGCGGGTTATCACGAGCGAGGAATGTTACAAGGTCATCGACTTTATTCTTCAGAAATGACCTGTTCAAAAGAGCTTTGCGCAGTTGATCTTTCAAAGATTTCTTATCGCTAGCGTAGTAAGCCTTTGCGAGTCTTCGCCTTAGGATGGCGATGGGAACGTCCCCGCTGGGGACTGCGTCATATGAAAGCTTCGTTGTCACGTATGGATTTAATTTGGCGGGGCCCTGAAATTCGCTCAGGGAAAGCGTGTTAATGCTCAGGTCACCAAACTGCGTGACATGGCTCGTGTTAGTTTCCTTTCTTACCGTAGTGAACTGATCGAGAAGTGTCGCCGTGTGCAAGTCTTTTCTCCAAGAATGATCCATCCAATTCACGCTGAATACGGTGCCCAAGAATGTCTTTCTGTATACCTCGTAGTAGCAAGCGTAGGCAGGCTCCTGATTGTTGGCCGAGGTTACGGCGTACACATTCACATCGTTGGGAAGAAGGCCGTCGAACATGGAACCGGATTCGCTGGCGTCCACATAGATCACCATCTTTGCGAACTTCCGCTCTATCTTCATTTTTTTGATGACCTCCACGAAAACTCGGGCGTGCAGTATGTCGTCATGAAACGCTATCAGACCGGGCGCTCCATGACCCACGATGTTCACAAAGACGTGGTCCGTGCTTTCACTGGCGATAACTTTACCGCTGCCGCCTTTCACCTTCTTTCCTTGGAGGATCTCGAGGAAATTTCGCGGGTTGACGAGGTCGCCTGTGTAGTCTTTAGGGACGCCCTTGTAACAATCATAACCACCGGGACGACTAACGACTATTCCTGGCTTCGGGTTTGCACTGGAATTGGCGAGGTCATCGTACGTCATTACCACGATGCGCTTCTCGGGAATACCGTGTTTGTACAGCAGTTGGTACGCATGGTAGATGCTGGCCTGGTGGCGGTAGTTGTCGTAACCTTTAGAGGTTGCCATGAGGAGAGCCCAAAGCTTCGGGTCGCTGTTATAAGCACGATTTGTCGCTTGTGCGACAGCAGCAAACGCGAAGGCTAATACGGATGAGCAGAGAAAATGGCACCACGATACGGCCATGACTTCCAAGTGTATCTTCACCAAATAAAACCAATCCACACCTTCTTAACCAGCCGAAGCGGTTTTGAGGTGCCGTGTCTTCTTAACTGACGTAGATAAGAGCAGAAAATTGGGCACGTATTGTCGAATACTGAACGTTGTCGTAGAAAAGAAGAGTTTTCAAGCGTGATGTCAGCGCACCAATACTGTTAGCCGACAATATGCCGTAACAATAGGCTGTGCATTAGGACCATCTGTTTTTTGTTTTTGCTTTGTTTTGTTTAGGTGCATATATCAGAAGTTTGGCTGGATATATATATATATATATATATATATATATATATATATATAAATATATATATATATATATATATATTTGTGTATGTGTGTGTGTGTGTGTATTCTGTCTGTTTTGTCAACACCTTTGAGGCTGGCACGCGTTCATATATGCACGACAAGCGCCAAGGAAAGGCAGCAAGACACAGATGACAGATGTGTGATTTTTTTCTGCTGTTAAAAATCCCTCTTTTGTTTTGGAAGTTTTGAGCTGCGTATATTTTCCACTGAAGTACAGAGGTCTAAAGAATAAGACGGATGAGTCACATGGGTGCAGGTGTTCATGAAAAAGATGGTGGCTGAGAGTGGATATTCCCGTGTCAAAAACTAAAGTGATATGTGGATTGAACAGCATTGGGATAGACTATTTCAAGCAGGTCTATTTTCATAGGGACAATGTTTGAAAATAATATATATACATACTTTAAAGAAATGTTGGCTGATCCCACGCATTGTAAAATTCGTTTACATCTGAGGCATGTAGGAAACAGCCTATGCTGTTTTTGTCATTATATTTTTTTTCCATTCAGGCAAACGTTACGAAAAAATCGACATGTACCTTGTGCTGTTGCGGACATTCCTTCACCTTACCACAGAAGACAAAAGCTTTTGCATTGGCGTTACGCTGGCATTTACGTTAGGGCAAAGATGACAGCTTTATGAAAAAGATTTGGTTTATAAGATGCATAGCAATTATCGACTCATACGTTTGGGTTTGAGGTACCTGGGACTATACCTTGCTGAGTCTTTGCATTGATATTTTTACTGTTTGGGTTGTCATAATATCGGATAGGCAATACAGCCACCACTTGTGGCATTCTCTCGGTAAGACAAACAGTGCGATACTTGAGTGCAATGCAGAGCTTCTGAGCTTGATCTGCGCCCGAGACATGGTTTTTATCCTTTCGCGTTTAATAGTACATCGCGCTTGCTTACATCGCACACAACATTGGCATCGGCATTTCTGCGATGCGGTCTTGTTGAGACTACTGCGTTAAATTTTAAGTCTACTCTGCTCTTGCTTTATGATAGAAAATAATCGTGAAAACTTCCACGCCAAGCCTCGCTTTCGCACTTGCTCTCTCTTTCTCCTTCCAATTTGAGGAGAGGGTAAAAAACTTTGAGGAAATCAGAAGCAGCCTTGAAAAGGACAACCTCACTTGTCGAAATGGGAGCTCCAGGATACACACGCCGTCAGCCAATTGTTCTGTTAGGACATTACTTCATAAGAGTGTTTGTCATATAGTGATCCATACACTGATGTCAAGCTGTGTTGATTTTGTTATATGCAAAGTTGAGACTTGGAAACATAAGTTTTTTGAAAACTCGCAGTGCTAAGAGTCATGACCAAAAAGGGTCTAATGGGCTTAACGGAGACCATGGCACCTCAGCAATGGGTAGTTTGGGCAACATTTTTATAACGATGAAAATGTACAAATGAGCAAACAATCTTAGTGACGCTTTCTACAAACCTAATTAGGCTTAACACTAAAAATATACTAAAACATCAAACCTAATAAAATACAAACGATCGTAATTATTTTTTAGACATATGACATCTGTAAGTGTGACGCTGTTCGAAAACACAAAATTGCCACCTAAGTCCGATTCGGCTACGACAGGAGACGACTACTACGGCGCCCAGATGTTGGTGGCTGGCTAAATAAGTAAGCAGATGGTAGTGGTCAATGAGCTTTTGGTCACCTTCGGAACTCTTGGTATGGGAAAAAACCGCGAGACCCAATGTACTCACGAAATGAGACACGACGTCGTTCATTATTTTTAAGCACAAGAAGTGCAAGGAGCGATTGCTCAAGATCACTGCGTCTTATCGCCGCAAATCTGGTGGCTGTTAGCAATGTCGGTTTTAGTGGATCTGTCCGAGTCAAAACTACAACAATAGGAACTGAACAGCAGAGGCTGAAGACAACGTTGTGCGCATATGTGTTAAGCTTTTCTCCTTTCAATCAATGCATAGTATACGTTGGTAAACGCGTGACCGTACGTCAAGTGAATAACAAAATCTGTTTTATAGACGCTGAGTGTGGCAGTAGGAATTATAGTCAACGCAAGCTGACATTACAACTGACACTGCAAGAAAGAGGAAAAGCAAGGAACATTTTGGAAGGGCTGTCTTTTAGATGTGAAGTGTCTTACGGTCGAGCTCAGTCTGGTGTGCGGCGTGACCACCCTTATTGCGCATGCGCGTCCCCTCACCCTCTCTCTTGTCCCTACACCCCCCCCCCCTCTCTCGCTTCGCAATGCCCTTGTAGGCAACGTCTGCGAGAAAGTTTCCTGGTATAAAAAACCGACTGCTCGCGCTGCACGACCATTCACTGGCCATACCAAATGTATAAGCACTGAATCTTGACCTTTGAGGTAGTGCAGGTGGGAGATTTTTCTTGTGCGTTGTTGAAGAATAAAAAAAGTTGTAGCGTGTGCGATGACTACAAGCGGACTGTGGGTTTCTGTTTTCAAGGGCGTTCTTCTGTCTCTCATTGCCCATTTGCAGCGATTGCCATGGTCGAGCAGGGAACACCGATTCGTCACGGCGTGCTTTCTGCCTCCCCAGATTCCTCTCCTGTGCAGTGCCGCCGTCAGTGTAGGTGCTAGCGCCCGTGGCTTTGTATGTACCCCGCTGTAAGAGTAAGCTAATATAACACCATGGTATGTGCACATGACGAGAGATGGTGTAATTTGTTTTTCTAGACACAACCTGACAAATTCAAAATACATTGAAGACAACAAAGCATATAGAATATTTTTGTTCATTTTAGGTGTACGATAAAATTAGTTAAATGTCGTTGATACGATCTTGCGTAACACGCTGGAAAGCCTTATACGTTTTCCGTTGATCGCCGTTCAACGTCTTTGGAGATGATGCATACATGATAATAATGCGCTAGCATATAACGCGACATCGATAGCGTATCTGACTTAATTAACTAAGACTCTCACATTTGAGGCGTTTTCTAAAGAGCCAAATGCATTGATTGATTTATTTATTTGTGGGGTTTAAAGTCCCAAAACCACTATTTGATTATTAGAGACGCGGTAGTGGAGGGCTCCGGAAATTTTGACCACCTGTGGTTCTTTAACGTGCACTCAAATCTGAGTACACGGGCCTACAACATTTCCGCCTCCATCGGAAATGCAGCCGCCACAGCCTGGATTTGATCCCGCGACCTGCGGGTCAGCAGCCGAGTACCTTAGCCATTAGACCACCGTGGCGGGGCAAAGAGCCAAATGCAGAAACCGTAACTAGGCTAAATGTCTGTGAAACGTGAAGCATGCTTATGTATGTTAAATTTCTAGAACAGTTATGATCAAAATGGGCCTATTCCTTTTTGTAAGATGAGGCCAAAAAGGCAGTTTCAAATAAAAGATGAGTCAAATACTCCAAATGTTTCAATCAAAGTGAGCCACATTCATTCAACCAACACCGCGCACACAAACATGGTGAAAAACCCCACGATGATTTCACTGAAAATGTTTTGTTTGTTTCTTAGCTTCTTTGTAATCGCGTTTACGTTCGACAATGACGTTTTTAGCGCGAATGGGCACTTACAGAAGGACATGATGTTTATTGACGAAACTCGATTGTAAAGAGTAAGAGGATGACTTGCCTAGTTCTTCTTACATCTTATTGATTCTTTTTGGCTTTAGTGTAACAGTATGCTGTCCTCCTTTCACTCCAACCCGGTGTATTTAAATAAAATAGGCATGAAGTAACGATAGTGGGCGTCTATTTATTCCCTAAAAACGAAGAAGTGGTGAGAAATTACATGACATAAAACTACCTGGATCACTTTTCAAGGCCTTCAATAGATACCAGAAACAAGAAAACACTGATGACAGTCCAGAATAGTGCGCCTTTTGCCACCAAAGTGCTCTCACTCTTCAAGTCTAGTAATCGCCATTACGCCAATGCGTCGGAGCGCTTCACCGGTGGAAGCACGAGTAAGATGTCAATTATATTGCAAAATATTGATATACCGTGAATACGACACGTTTAACGCCTATTTAATAAATTAATGAAATGTTTCAATAAATGTGAGCCTTGGGTGCACGTTAAAGAACCCCAGGTGGTCGAAATTTTTGGAGCCTTCCACAACAACGTTTCTGATAATCATATGGTGGCTTTGGTACGTTAGAAGCCACATATCAATCAATCTATATGAGCCTAATACCACTTTCACTCCAAAAGACTGACGATTTTTGGCTATGTACACTTTAGCTATGTACACTTTAGGTAAAAACACAGTATACTATAGTGATGGGCGACTTTATTGCAAAGATAGGGAAGAAGCAGGCCGGAGACCAGGCAGTAGAAGATTATGGCATCGGTACTAGAAACGCCAGAGGAGAGCTACTAGTAGAATTTGCAGAACGCAATAATTTACGGATTTTGAATACCTTCTACTGCAAACGAGAAAACCGCAAGTGGACATGGAGGAGCCCTAATGGCGAAAATAAGAACGAAATAGACTTCATAATGAGTGCCTACCCAGGCATCGTGCAGGATGTGGAAGTGGTTGGCAAGGTACGATGCAGTGACCATAGAATGGTACGGTCTCGAATTTGCCTAGACTTCAAGAAGGAACGACAGAAACTGATACGCAAGAAGCCAATCGATAAGCTAGCACTGAGAAGGAAAGTACAGGAATTCAGAGTGTCGCTGCAGAACAGGTACTCGGCTCTTAGTGAGGAAACCAATCATAGCGTAGATGCAATGAATGATAATCTGACGAGTATCATTAAGGATTGTGCAGTGGAAGTTGGAGGCAGGGTAGTTAGACAGGACACTGGCAAGCTTTCCCAGGAAACGAAGAACCTGATTAAGAAGCGTCAAATCATGAAAGTGTCAAG